AGTCACACATGGTGCAGCAGGTCCTTCAGCGCTTCGGCTTCCAGTTCTCCTCACCTCAGGCCACACCTCTGGCTACCAGCCACTCGCTCTCAGCTCCACCTTCGGACGAGTCCGTAGAGCCGAGTGGCCCGTACCCAGAGCTTGTAGGCTGCCTCATGTACCTGATGACTTGCACGCGACCTGACCTCGCGTACCCTCTTAGCATCCTTGCTCGTTACGTTGCGCCTGGGAGACACAGGCGAGAGCACTGGGAGGCTGCTAAGAGGGTGCTGCGTTACTTGTGCAGTACATCAGGCATGGGGCTGGTGCTTGGAGGACGCGACAGAGTTGTCCTCACTGGTCACTCGGACGCTTCTTGGGTGGACGACCTGGCTACGCAGCGGTCGTCACAGGGTTACACCTTCAGCCTTGGCTCTGGTTCTGTCTCGTGGCGGTCCACCCGCTCTTCCTCTGTTCTCGGTTCTAGTTGTGAGGCTGAGATCTACGCCACAGCCATGGCTGCACAGGAGTTACGCTGGCTCACCTACCTGCTGACTGACTTGGGAGAGCGGCCTAGTTCTCCTCCAGTTCTGTACGGTGACAACAAGGCGGCTCTTGCCTTGTGTCAGGAGCACAGACTGGAGCACAGGACGAAGCACATTGCTCTTCGCTACTTTCTTGCTCGAGAGCTTCAGCAGCGCGGTCAGCTTCGGCTTGTGTACGTGGACTCGAAGGCCAACACTGCTGATATCTTCACCAAGGCGCTCCCGCCTAGTGATCATCAGCGGCACTGTACTTCTTTAGGCCTTGTGTCCACGTTTCCTCACTTGCTCACTGCTTGACATTCTTTGTACTGTACTTTATATATATCTTGTTGCTTGCTTGCTAGGTTTTGATCACTGTGTTGTTTGTCTTGTACTATATCTAGCACTGCATGTGAACTGGCCTTGTGGCCTTTGCTTGTGCTCGGAGTGTGGTGACGTTGTGATCCACCCTGGGCTTGCGTTGCTTTGCTGGACTGGTCTTGTGACCCTTTGTTCTCCCCCACTTTGCCTATGGGGGTGTGTTAAATTGTAATGTGTTATATGTTGGTAGGCTGTAGTGGGGTAGCCAATATGGGGTACAACCCCAACTAGGGTTTCATATTTGTACCCAAACTTCTGCTAGTTCATTCATTCTTGCCTAGTTATTTTGAGAAAGGCACTAGCTCACTATACGTTTTCGGACCGAGGTGGCGGAGGAGCTCGTCATGCACTGCGCTTTTCGAAACTCCCAACTCTTTAGCGATTTGGCGATAACTACGCCCGGCTGCTATTAGCTGCATGATGCGCTTCTGTTTCGCCGCACTAAGGCGCTTCATGCTGAGGGGGTGTTAGATCTACTTGCAGATCAACGACGGGGCTCGTAATCTCCTCTATACCTAGCTATTCTAGATCTAACTGCGCACGAAATAAAGCGCGAGACATAACGGAAGTATTTGTCCGTGTGGGGTGTCGAGTGGGGAAAGCTGACTCGTTAGAGCGCGTGCGTTTTTTGGGGCTATAGGTAACCAACACGAACTGGTAACACTCAGACGCGAACCCTGAAGGCAGTTTGTTATAAACATTACTTGTTTATATTACAAATGTGTTCAAGTTAATGTTGAGCTCGAATCTATAAGGACAATTATTTAGTTCAGTGTACCCAGAGACAGCTCACAACTCACCCCCTTGCGGGCGGCACATCTAAATTGGGGGTATTCGAACCCCCCTTTGTCAAACAAATGGCTCGTTCAAAGGTTCTCCCCTGAATGGCAATGCGACGGCTGTGCCATCGCTGTCCTTTGAAAAACGCGGCATGGCGATGTCTTGGCTGCGTTCTGTTGGCGCATTAGTAATGCGCGCACGACGCACAAGTAATGCGTCCGGAGGCTTTTGCGCATGAGAGCACCCCCCTAAAATTACCACGAGAGAATGACCCAGGCGCGAGGTATCTGTGAGGTAGGCACCAGGTTGTTTACGAGGGGGCAGACCCAAAATTTTGGAAACCAGCATCACTGACCTAGGGTAAACTTTTGAGGCACGCAACACAAATAGGTACAAACAACCACCCAATCGGCATGCACCTCAAAACATGTTGGGTTAAGAAACTAGCCAAAGTCGACTTTTCCCAAGCGTTTTTCGCTGCCCCGCACAGCTTGTGCGCCCCTTTAACGCTGGGAGACGAGCAGATGGGACTCGCACAGGCTGTACGGGAGGTTTGCTTGTGAACGCAAGCTCCTGGAATATTCCGAGCGCACAGGCAGTACAGCGTTTTTGCGCACGCACAAGTAATGCGCGCACAACTTCCGCAGCAGAGGTTCGGATCACACTAACGATTCCCTCCGGCCCCAAGCCTTGTCGCGCAAGTTCCTTGTACATCCACAGTTAGGTCACGCACAAGCTATGGGCCAACAGAACGCAGCCCATGGCTTGAGGATAGAATTTTGCCTGGGGACGAAGTTTCGTCCCCGCTTCCATATGCCGTCGAGCAGTTCGATTTGGTGGACAAATGGGGGCGTTCGCCAGACACCCACTTTGATTGTTGGTTTGGACGTGAGGGGAGCCTCAGCACCTTTTTTACGGGCTAACCAGGCTGACGGAGGTACGTAACGAACCCTAACTGACGGGATCAGGAAGGCGAGACCCACCTTCCTGATCCCGTCGTCATCCCATGGCTGTGTTCTGCGGGCGCATCAGCTCTGATGCGCCCTAGGCTCGGCCTGATCCGCACATTGACAAATTGAGGTTCGGGAATGAGGAATTTGAAATTGTTAAATAGAGGCTTGGAAAATTGAAATTGAGGTTTGGGAAATCCGGAAATGGAGATTTGAAATGTAGACATTCCCAATCCCGACCTCAATTCATTGGGTTCGTCGAAGCAAGGAAGCACGTACCTGACGCCTTCCCCAAGGGCATGAACTGGGCTGCCCGACGGAAAATTGAAAGAAAAAATATTGCTAGGACGATGAATATCGCGGCACGTGGCGACATGTTAATTTGTGGTCGCCAAAAAGACCGTTCTGCGGCATTCGGGCATGGTTCGCCTCGGCAACCAAGAGCTTATTGCGAGCCTTGATAACCTTCGTGCTGGTTATCAAAGAAGGCTCCTGGAACGTTGAAAAAAAATTGCAATGTACATTGATGCGGGCTAATGCGCCCGCAGATCGCAGCCCACGTTTTTTTGCTTCACAGGTGCTGGCGAACAGCACCGAAATCTTCAACCAAGATGATTCTGGCACTAGCAGGTTTCTATCAAATCAGCAGCGTGCTTACTGCTTGTTGGGACGGCCAATTCTTGTGGGACACGTTTCCCTGACATTTGAGTGCTTCTTTGGCTGTGGTGTGGTCTGCTGTGTCCGCCATAGTCTGCTCTTTCAAAGCTTCACGTCCAGCAAATTCGTCCAGCATTCCTCTATCAATCAGTTTACCTTCCGCTTCCCTCGTAGGTCTCACTGAGACGAATTACGAGTGTGCATTTCCCGTTGGTTCTGTGCTGCGCCGACGTACCATTTACTGACTGCCGGATTGTTGACGGCGAGGCTACCATAGCTTGTGTAACGTTAATTTTCATATGGTCATCAAGTCTTCATTTACCGAGGATTGTAGATAAGGTTCGCAGCAATGTCGGTCGCAGTCTGGTAACATGATCTTTCCTGATTTGGGTGGTGCTTTTTAGAAAATAACCCGAAGTGCAAATAACATGCCTGTCGCACCGCCGTTTGACAGAAGTTCCCGAGTAAGAGCGACGTTTTCGTAACATGACGAAGAATCGCGAAGCCATGGATTTGTAGCGTCCAGAAATCGTCAAACTGCAGAATTTGTCAAGTCGACTCGTGAGTTGACTTAAAGACATTTAGCCACGATGCCAACGTGGATGGACAGTACGGAATCCGTCAACTCGTGTTGACGACCTCATTCACTTCAGAGACTCTTTCAAGTGGAGAACACTGCCCCTCCGTGTACATGTACTCTTAATTTCATCGCTTTCCCTTACATCTCCATTTTATTATTGATCGAGTCGTACGATAATCGAGTTTTGGGACGTTTTAGAGTTCGCAAGCTATCGCCTTGTGCAATAAGGCAATTATGAGCACGCGAACACTCGCTGCTCCTCCGCCAACTGTTACCAATTTTAACGCTGGCGGCCAGAAAATGCCAGCGATGGGATTCGAAGGGCGGCTCAGGCGCATGTGTGATCGAGCCAGGCAGATTGACGAGGCGGCGGGGAAGGGCCTGTCTGAAGGCGAGAAGCAGCAATGCCTGGAGGAGCAGAGAGAGGAGGTGAGACGAGGCTGGGAGGGGTGAGATGAGGCTGAGAGGGCGTGAGATGAGGCTGAGAGGGCGTGAGATGAGGCTGGGTTGGTTGAGAAGAGGCTAAGAGAGGTGAGATGAGGCTGAGAGGTGTGATGAGGCTGAAGCGGACGACGAGTTGAACCAGGCCCTGGCCTCTTCGCCATAACAGCACGCTCTCCTCCGTAGCCTCACATCGCAATGCTCCTTCCCGCCTTTTTCCCGCCCTACCCATTTGTCGGCCTATCAATTTAACCATCCATTTTAACCATCCATCCATATAACCGTCCATCCATTCGTCCACATAACTATTCGTCCTTACATCCACGTGCCCATGCCCCGCACCAGGTCGAAGCTCTGCAGTCCATTTTCGACTCTGACTTTGAGCCCATTTGGCTCGCATCCTCCTCCTCCCCCCCTTCGTCACCCACTTCCTCCTCTGCTCCCCAAGAAGCGGCCGCCTCGAGTTTCACAACCTCGCCTTACAACTGTTTCATGGTGGGAAAGAGCTGGTTTTTCCAATGTCTGTACCCTCCACTGAAGCAATACAAATGACCACCACGAGAAATGTTTTGAAAAAAAAAACAACTACTTGCCTCCTGAGACAGTTGGATTCTAAAGTTCGTCCTTTTGTGTGCTGTGAGAAGCCATTGTCCCATTGCTTTTCTCTCTTTACCTTGTGTCATCTTTTTCGCCCTGCACCCTCCCCGTTCAGATTGACATCCGGATCACAGTGCCCTCGCCCCTGCTCGTAGTCCCCTCACCTCCTTCTGCAACTGCTTCCGCTTCCTCTAGCTCTTCTTCCAACCCCTCTTCCTCCTCCTCCTTCTCCTCCTCCTCCTCCTCCTCCTCCTCCTCCTCCTCCTCCTCCTCCTCCTCCTCCTCCTCCTCCTCCTCCTCCTCCTCCTCCACCACTGCCTCCTCTCCCCACACCCCTCTCCCTCGCCCCTTCCTCATCTCGCATCTCCCCCCTCTCCGCCTCCTCGCTCTCCTCCCCCACACCTACCCCTCCGCCTCCCCGCCCCTCTTCGCCCTCTTCTCCTCCTGGCTCTCCCACGCCCAGCTGGCGCGCCTCTGCGCCCAGCTGGACGCCACGTGGCAGCAGCAGTGTGGCCTGGTCGTGCTGTACACGTGGGCAGCATGGCTTGGCGAGGAGACGCTGGGATGCCTCGGGATTGATCAGGACCTCAGGCTTACGGGTGGGGAGGGATACGCGGCAGTGGGTGAAGGAAGGATAACAGCAGCAGCGGCGGCAGCTGTGGCAGAAGGAAAAGCATCATCATCAGCAGCAGCAGCAGCAGCAGCTGCTGCTGCTGCTGCATCGGCGTGCTCATGCCAAGATCCAGCAGCAGCGGGTGTGGGCGCGGGCGCGGGTGGGTGTGGGTGTGGGTGTGGGTGTGGGTGTGGGCGTGGGGGGGTACTGCAGGGCAGTGTACGAAGGCATGTCTCTGCAGGACGATCTAGCTCTCCTGAAGCGGTGGAGCAAGGAGATGGACGACCGCGTGTTCCGAGCGTCCCTCCACGCGTGCGCCATCTGCTTCTCTGAGAAGCCCGGGACGGAGTGTGTGCGTACCGCGTGCACACACGCGTTCTGCACGGCGTGCATGAGGGCGTTTGCAGAGGCGCACGTAACAGAAGGCAATCTCCAGGCGCTCAAGTGCCCTGATACCAAGTGCCGTGCGCCTCTCTCTTACGGTAAGCCTACCAACAAACTCTTCTCCCTTCCGAGAGGCGCACGTGGCGGAAGCAATCTCCAGGCGCTCGAGTGCCCTGACACCAAGTGCCACGCTCCGCTTTCCTATGGTAGGTCTTCCCAACACAACTCTCTCCCTTTTCTCAGTGAGAGCAATTTGCTCTCCAGCTTTAGCTGCCAGCTGGACGCGCTGCAACCGCAATCCCCGCTTCCCTTCCTTCTCCCTTTGCCCTCTGCCCTTTCTGCCTTCTCCCTTTGCCTTCTGCCCTTTCTGCCTTCTCCCTTTGCCCTCTGCCCTTTCTGCCTTCTCCCTTTGCCCTCTGCCCTTTCTGCCTTCTCCCTTTGCCTTCTGCCCTTTCTGCCTTCTCCCTTTGCCTTCTGCCCTTTTGAAGTTTCTCAAAAGGAACACCCCCCATCCTTCCTTCTGCTCAGTCCCCAAACAGATCTCCTGCGCACACTCCTCCCAGCTGACCTATTCTCCCGTTGGGAGCAACTAACCCTTCAACAATCCTTAGACGCCATTGCCTTCTGCTTTTGAGGCGCCTCAAAAGTCAATCCTTAGACGTCATTGCCTTCTGCTTTTGAGGCGCCTCAAAAGTCAATCCTTAGACGACATTGCCTTCTGCCCGCGCTGCTCCCAGCCGGCTGTGGAGGACCCATCAGCCCACCACGTGCTGTGCCCTCTTTCAAAGCCACACATGCTCTCCCCACCTCCAAACTATCCTTTTTGTTCCCCTCCCCCGTTCCCCCCTCCCCCTCCCTCTCTCGCTGAACAGATCTCCTGCGCACACTCCTCCCTGCTGCGCTATTCTCCGGCTAGGAGCAGTAAACCCTCCAGCGCTCGCTAGACGCCATGCCAGACATTGCCTTCTGCCCGGGCTGATCCCACTGCTCCCCTTTCTCCCCCCCCCCCCTCCCCCCTCTCGTTTCCAATTGAACAGATCTCCTGCGCACACTCCTCCCTGCTGCGCTTTTCTCCCGGTGGGAGCAACTAACTCTTCAACGTTCCCTAGACGCCATGCCAGACATTGCCTTCTGTCCACGCTGCTCTCAGCCCGCAGTGGAAGACCCTTCAGACCACCACGCGCTGTGCCCCGGGTGCTTCTTCTCCTTCTGTGGGTTGTGCCGCGAGGGCTTTCACCGTGGCAGGACCTGCATCACTCCCGAGCTTGCACTCAAACTCATGAAGGTGCGAGGGTGGGTGCATCAGTATGGGGTGAATTCTCAGGGTTTAGAGACCTGGTTGTGGAATTCACTAGAAAGATCGTCCTTCAAAAAATGGGAAAGTGGAGTTTCTTCTCTCTGCTTGTTGTCCCCTCCTGTGTTTCTCAACTCCTCCTCAGCTGCGGAAGCAGGAGCGATGCAGAGGAGTTGAGGAAGCAGAAGGACTTGAAGCAACAAGTGCTTAGCCTCAAGTGAGAGGCTTGCCCTGTGCCCCTCCTCACTTCCCTATGCTTGCTGTTGTCTTGCATGTTTCAGCTGCGGAAGCAGGAGCGATCTCTGGCAGAGGAGGAGTTGAGGAAGCAAAAGGACCTGGAGCAACAAGTGCTTAGCCTCAAGTGAGTCATTAACTTCAATTGAGTTCCTAGTTTCAGGTCAACACCTTTGGCCTCGCAAGCACGAGGTTGCAACTAGCTGTTCTGCCCCACCTTGTCACACACTCACTCAGCGACACTCACCTGTACTCACACTCTCACCCTCGCAATGCTTGCCTTCTCCCCCCTTTTTTTTGGTCAGGGTTGTGGAGGAGTCGAGTGTGGCATGCCCCATGTGCAGCACGGCCATCAGCAAGAGCGAGGGGTGCAACAAGATGGTCTGCCCTACCTTGTCATGCACTCTCTCACTCACCCAAACTCACACTCACATTCACCCACACACTGTTCCTATCCTCTCCCCCTCATGGTCAGGGTTGTGGAGGAGTCGAGTGTGCAGTGCCCCGTGTGCAGCATGGCCATCAGCAAGAGCGGGGGGTGCAACAAAATGGTCTGCCCCACCTGCAACACCTTCTTCTGCTACCGCTGCCACGAACGCATCGATGGTTACAGCCACTTCACGTATGTTACCACTATGTTACTGCTTGTTACCACTTGTTACCACGTCACGTATATTAACCCATCCCCATCGCCCCACCTGCAACACCTTCTTCTGCTACCGCTTCCACGAGCGCATCGATGGTTACGACCACTTCACGTATGTTACTACTTGTGTAACCACTTTATGTGTTACCACTTATATGTAACTACTTCACGTACAAGTCTGAAAGAATATTGGTGAAACCGTACCAATTTTGGTACGCTTTAACCTGTTGCGAAAGGGGAAGGGGATGCATGGGCCCATGTATTGGAACAGTGTCATGCACCCAAGCATCCCGTTTCCCATTTTTGAGGCGCCTCAAATTTTTTGAGACGATTTTTGCGGCGCCTCAAAAAAAATTAGGCGCCTCAAGAAAGGGGAAGGGGATGCATGGGACCATGTATTGGTACAGCTTCATGCACCCAAGCATCCCCTTTCCCATTGCCCTGCTAGCCAACACCCAACATTCCAATCCTCCGTCCCCTGCTTTCTCTCCTTTCCCAATCCTTCTCCTGCAACTTTGCATCACCAGCAACAGCACGTGTGTGTTGTTTGAGCCAGCGGAGATAGAGCACTGGGAGGTTCGAATCATGATCCCTCGTGCTCTCTTTCCCCCTATTTTGCCCTTGCAACCTTGCACCACCAGGGAAGGCAAGTGTGTGTTGTTTGAGGCGGCGGAGATAGAGCAGTGGGAGATGCAAGTCACATACCCTCATGCTCTTTGTTCTCCTATTTTCCCCTTGCAACCTTGCACCACCAGGGAGGGCAAGTGTGTGTTGTTTGAGGCTGCGGAGATAGAGCAGATGCAAATGGCAGCCATGGCTGAAGGACGGCGGCGCCACAACCATCGAGCCGCGCCCCCCCCCAGGGCGGATGGCAGGCCACTGCTTGTGAGACGCTGCCCCACTTGCCGCCAATTCAACTATAAGGTTAGTGTGTGACAAGGACGGTTCAGGCTGCAAGGTAGTTTTTAGGTTATGTGTCTGGTGTGGCGGTGGTATCATAAATTGTGCCTAAGCTTACCCTGTTAGTGTTTCTTGCAACCTTTAATTTCTTTGCAGGAGGGGGGGAATAACGACATGCATTGCTGGATTTGTCGCACACGCTTTTGCGGCATGTGCAACCAAATAATGAGAAATGTGTATCATTTTCGACCTAATGGATGTCGCCAACACACTGATGACTAACCTCTTAGTACTTAGGGATGGACGTATGTGTTAGCATGGCGGTTGGTATGGGATTAAAAATCACAAGATTTCAGCATGTATATCGTCTATCTGTGCTCCATTTCCGCATTCGTTTTATTGTCAACTGTCGGATTCGTATTCCAACAATGGCATTCCTAATACCGGGTATGCTGTTTAGACTTGCAACATCGTAGCAGCTCATATCGCAATTCCGAGCAACCTTTGCTGCGTCCTCATTCTGTCTCTGCCTCTCCTTTTCCCTCTCGGCCCTAGCTTTTGCTTCACTTGCTTGCACTCCCTCGTCCCACCGCCTCAGCTCCCTCCTCCGGTACCTGAAAGGGGAAAAGTTGCGGGACGGGGAGGTTTATGAGGAGGGATGGGTGACGGGTATATGAGAGAGGGGGAACAGTGGCCAGGGAGGAAGGAAAGGGGGAGGGGGACACTTCAGGAACAGAGTCATACTGAATGGCACATGGTTTTCAAGTCGACTAAAAAAACAGCAAAATCCTGTGTGAAGTACAAGAACGGACTTGTTCTGTCTTAGCTGGCTGTGCCTTCTTCCGCTCCGCCCTGTCAATCACTGGATCAAACAGTCCAGCTGCCTTTCCACTCAGAAGCAGTAGCTGCCTTTGCCTTGGCCATGCAACTCACTCGATCATGACATGGGAGGCCAGCTGCCTGACGCGCAGAGGCAGCAGTCGACCCTGCGTTGCCAGAGCCAACCGACAGTCTGCTGCTGCAGCTGCTGCAGCAGTGGCAGCAGCAGCTGGGCATGCAGAAGCAGATGTGTTGTCCGTGGCATGAGTCGTGGCACGACCAGGAAGGAAGCACAGCAAGACTATCGGAGAGGAATCAGCTGCGCAGAGAAGGTGCTGGCGGAAAGAACAGAAAAGTTGAAAACAAAAAAGGGGCAAAAAGATTGGGACAGGGAAACACGAATCGATAAACTTTCAAAGCTGTGGGCATTAGCGTGATGGAATGCATACGTGGGGAAGGCAGAAAAC